CAGCCTGTGCCAATGTTTCACCACTCTTTCAGTAAAGACATTTTTCCTCATGTCCAGCCCTTGCACTGAATAAAACAAACCAAACACCAATGTTTACTTCTTGTGCACTTCCCTCTGACAACTTTTAAAATGGTTACAAACTTTGCAAGAACAAGCCAGGGCCTGTTGCCTTAGTTTCTATTAGAATCTAAAATGACTTGTAAAACACTAACAAAATATCAGTTTATCTACTTTTATTGCTTTTTTTTGCTGAATTCTTTTTACTTATGTATATTAACATTGCACATATTTTGACAATTTATTGCCAAATACACATATTGTGGGGCTTGGTTTCTGACCTAAGAAAGAAATACAAATGAAAATTGAAAGTAATTATCCCATGTGGAGACCAAAAATCCTTGTCCCACCCCAGTTAAGGCATCTGTGGAATTCATCTTCAAATGGAAAATAATGTCCCTCAGATGTGCAAACTGTATTGGGGACTACAGGTAAATTAGGCTGTGAATACTGAACATATCATACTGGTTGACCCATTAAATCATGCCAGAAATTTTCCCATTCAAAAGTCTCATGTTTCGTCATATCCATGGAAATGAAAGATAACAATGCCACAGTGTTACACTCAAAATTCATATCTCCTCTCTTGATACCTACGCAGCTTCTCAAGCATATGCTCTGCTTAAAGCTAGGATTACAATTCTGGACATTTATGCAGCACAGATGTTCTCTATATGAAGTAAGTTAACTACTGATGTGTATTTTCTTATTTTTCATTTTTAATTTAAATTTGACAGTTTTGACTGTTGTAAACAATATTATAAAAGAAACTCAATAGTGTAGATCTAGAGAAGCTTCATTATTAGACTGTAAAAATAATTGTTGACATAAGGATTCTACCTAGAAAGGCCTCATGATTGGCAGTCACATACTTCTTTAGAGGCATTTTACCCTTCCTATATGTACTTCTTGGCCAGTAAATGATGGAAACATATATGTCCTTATTGCCAAAGTATGTTCCAGTTACTGGAAAGAGTAATAAGTGGGATAAACAATATAAGGGATTCATATTACACAGAAAACTTTCCAGGTCCTTCTCCCCCTCTCTCAGATACTGCTAGCATGCACAAATATCTGTAGATGTTTAAGAGAGTTCCTATATGTACTTCTTGGCCAGTAAATGATGGAAACATATATGTCCTTATTGCCAAAGTATGTTCCAGTTACTGGAAAGAGTAATAAGTGGGATAAACAATATAAGGGATTCATATTACACAGAAAACTTTCCAGGTCCTTCTCCCCCTCTCTCAGATACTGCTAGCATGCACAAATATCTGTAGATGTTTAAGAGAGACAAAACGAAAATTATCCAGTGTCATACTACTCAGCTTTCCCAGATTAGTTCTCCTAAATATCTCAGGTATCTCAATACTAGGCAGAAAGACAAAAAAAGCAAGCCCCTTCCAGATACAACATAATCTAAAGAACAGAAAAATGTGTCATCTCTTCCAACAATAGAGACACTTCCCTGTTTTACTTCTCTTTTATTTCAGCCTAACAGGTTCTATAAATCGAAGTTTCTATATTATACCAGCTTTTACCCTAAAAAATTTATTCTGATTTGCATTGAACACTTCACTCAACACAAAATCACTCAATTCCATTTGTTCAGTATTGATTTTTACCTCAAAAACTTCTTCATCCAGAATCCTGGTTCCAAAGACAGTGATGCCATTGGTGTCCACAACTGTTTTGTCACTTCTTTCAAGTGGTTTTGTAGTTTTTTTGTTACAGTCAACAATCATTGTAACACTTTTTTTCTCCACGCTAATAGCTACTCGATGCCACCTGTTAAAAAAAAAACATAATTCTATTGTAACTTATGTTTTTCAAACCAGGTCATTGTGTTCTTATCGAGACGGTTTATTGCAGATCGTGCACCAGTCAAGTCACAGATAAAATTTTAAATGTCTCCATTTATTTCCTTCTTTCATATGTACACAAATGTACACAATGTTTTGTCTATTCACTACATAACTTCTGTCCCTTAGTACAAAGGAATCTGATCCATAGCTCATTGTGAATATCCTATATAAGATGAAGTTCAAGCTCACCTTCTCTGAAGCTTTACCCAGAGAACATTAGTAAACTCAAATTAGAAGTGAGTGCACTGTTTACATTTTATTAGATTGAACGATCTGACAGCAGATTTTATTTTTATGAATGTGTTTGATTTTCCAAATTACTTAAGGAATTACTTGTGCAAATATATTTAATCCAGAAGCTTATTCTTTGTTATTTACATTTTACTATTTGTTCTCTGTGATCAGTCACCAAAATTTTACCATGTTCTTTTGCTTATTTGAATGTATCCCATAGCTATAGAGATTTTTCAAATATGTACAACAGTTCCAACATAGATGCTTTTCCAGATACATATACTTACAAATGCTTGCCGATATTCCCGCAACAATAGCTTTGCCTACATAAATATTGACCAAAAAATGAATGGACTGATTCAGGATACTGACAAATGGTTTTATTTTAAAGACATTCGCGAATAAAGCTTTGTACAATTTGCCCAACTATACTATGTTCTTTATGAGACTTTATTATCATGACAGACCACGCTAATTTAGTGAGCCTCTCTGCTGTGACAACTTAAATATCTAAGAGCAAGAGCAAGCCACTCCGTAATCGAACATGGAGCAAAACATCAAAGAATCTTTGATAGACAAGGACAAAAAGTGTCAAAGGATGTCATATTAGTGACTGGTAAGAGGAAGGCTGGAATCAAATTATTTCAGTTGGCATTTGTGGCACTAAGGTTGTCTGAATCAGAGAGACAGCCTAGATCGTTGTTACAAAGAGCTTCTGTATATCAGAAGGAACACCTCGAAGCTAGTGGAATCTGACTGCTAAACAGTATCACTGAGCCAGAACTCTAACTCCATGTTTTTTCTGGAACGCGGCTGAACATTACCATTAGAAAAGCAAACTGTCCATGCATCCTCAGGCACATTACACTGTTTACACTTTTTAAATATATCTCATTTTGAGACAAAGATTGTTGTCCTAGATCCTTCATAAAATAGCTGAGTCAGAAGAAAATTGTCAGTCTATCTTTTGAAAGCATGTAGAAGCTGAAAGCATGAAAACATAGCTCACTGTGGATAGGACTGACTCCAGTTGATTTGGAAGTTGTATAGTCTCACTGCAGGAACTGTACCAAACCAAGTTCATTTTGATTTCTTAATTTTTATCAGTTTCTCAACATTTTGGGTGAAATTCTGAAATCCATGTACTCCAGTTGATTTGGAAGTTGCATATTCTCACTGCAGGAAACTGTACCAAACCAAGTTCATTTTGATTTCTTCATTTTATCAGTTTCTCAACATTTTGGGTGAAATTCTGAAATCCGTCAAAGCTTAAAAAAAGGCTGCTTTATTTTATCACTCCTTCTGCTAGGGAAATGCATCAGGTTTATATTTCATGGTATAATGCCATTCTCTGGTAATACAAGGGCTAGAAAGCAATTACTTTTTTCTTTTTTTATCCTTTATTGCTTTATAAACATATTTCGTTACAGTTGAATTTTTGCCCTTCCTTCTCTACTGCTTTGTTTTCTTTTGCTTTAATAAAATTTCATTCTCTGTATATCTGGAGACTGTGGCTGCTCTTCCTGGACTGCAGCACAATAAATAAAAAGCCTTTGAAAGAATGAATGTCCACTTACAAGCACTAGAATGATATTCCCAGAGAATGATTGCTTGTCTACAAAGGGAAGTTAGGTACAAAAAATTAACAACTGCATCAATAACGCAATAGGTGTTTGAGATTCATTGCTTTACTGAGGGTGCAGTATAAATACTTGCAGCACTTCAGATTAATTGCCCAGCTTATTCTTCCCTGACTTCCTTCTATACAGACATCTCAAACCATCTTATTTATCTGCTGTTTTGGTTCAGGAGAGGAGAAATTCTATGCTGTCTTGTCAACTTGTCTTCACTCTGCCTATCGCCTTCAAATGGACAAGACAGCCCTTCTAGTGAGACTACTCCTCGAGTCTTTCTGAAAACAGAGTTTCTTTCTATATTGCACAGGAAGAATCTTCTTAGGTTTAGTTTTGGTGGGTTTAACTTCTATGACTCCTTCTTCACTCTTGGTTTATAGAAATGGCAAATAAGAAAGGTGGTTTGGCTTTATTTGTAGCTGTATACACCATTTGAAACTGGAACTGTATTCTGCTGCAAAGGTTCTCTGATTTTGTACGACAGCAGTCCAACTAGCTGGCAACTGTGTTACTGATTTATTTAAATATGTAAGACAACTGTTTGTAAAGACCATAGTCACCTATACAGTGGTCTGTGGTATTATTTTTCATCTTAAAATTTTACACTTACTTGCCATCAGCAATGTTGACTGTTCTGAAAAGAGGATAGTCTTCTGGGGCAGGTTTTCCATTTTGGTCTTCAAACAGGAAGACAGGGGATCTACCAACTTCAACACCTACTTGCTGAATTCCTTGTTCATTGTAGACAGACAGAAGGAAGGACTGGATACCCTTTTTAGGTTTTACTGTCATTAATATTGAAAAATCTTCTGGAAAATCTCCACCTGTAAAAAAAGTGATACAGTTACAAATTCAGAAAAGATGAAACCATTCTTTAAAGGTTTACATTTTCCTATAAGCACAGAGGATTCCACATACAAACTGTTGGGTTCTTTTAATTCTCCAAAATGAATAAAATTACAGAAATAAAAAATTACACTATTAAAATTTTTTCTCTCTTTTTTTCTTTCTGGTCTCGCTTTAATTCCCGAAAGATATACCTTAACGATTCTTAAAAACATGACCTGTAAATCTATTGTGAATTTATGTTATAATACAATATATGCAAGAACCATGATAGTTTCACATTCATTATTTTTTCTACCATCGCCTTTTTAGCAATCTTCTAATTTAAAAGCGTGCACTACAATTTCACTCAACAAAGTAAGTATCTGTATTATAGCAAATATATTCCCAGGCACTTCATCTCCCTTGATAACCACTTGTTTTAGTTTCTCTCTCACAATATATATTTGAGTCTTTCTAGAATAATATTGTGCATAACATTGAAAAAATACATAACTAGCTTTAGGCAAAAGCAAAGAACGTTTAATTTTCATTTATTCCCTGATGCTTTCTCTTTGAAGTAGAGATTATGTATCAATCATGGTTTCAACCTTTAAAACTAAACAAAATTAAAAGTGGATATAGCTTGTTTATAAAGGAAGGACTGAGGTTTGTACTCAGTACTGCTGCTGTTGAATCTGGTGGTAAATCTGCATTTCACTTGATGTGAAAGTCTACAGGCTTAGTATCAAATGAAGTGTAAGACTGAGATTCTAAAATTCAGAATATACATTGGATCTGTGTGGCTTCAGCTGCAATTTGACATGCAAGAAACAGAGGGATTAGAATCTAATCGTAATGTTGGCAATGAATATAACTGCAACTGTGTGTGCGTGAGAGTGAGTAAAATGTTCTTAAACATTTTAAAAATATAATACAATAAGTTTTAATAAAATAATATGTTACATTTTTGTAATTAATAAAAGCACATAAGACTTCAACATCGAAAGCTGATTTAGGAATTGCTTCTTCCAATGGAGAAAATATAAGACTGTTTCCAAGATAGGTCTTGTGGGAAAACCCTGTCAGGATTCTATGGAGTCTTCCGTGAAGACAAGTTATTGATGGCATTAACTCTTTAGTTACAATATGAAAACAAAATGCATAAAATCTTCACTGCTCTTTAAATGACATACTACTCTTCTAAAACAGAAAATCCCTAGTCTTACACCTATTATATTGTCTGCTGCAATGTTGTTTTATGTGCTTTCTACCATCTTCTTAACTTTTTTTGTAGAAGGTTGTTGAAACACTCTAGTAATATAGACCACTTCAGGGCTTGTTTTGACATCTTATTTTGAAGGGATCAAAGCTCAATAATAGGAAGCATTTCATTTACTCTGGTGAGCCTTTGGTCAAGCTTTTTAATGACAAAGCAAAGCTGCTAGTTTACAGGTTAAATTAAACTGTACATTACACCTTTTAATGTCAGAGTAAACAGATGACAAAAAAAGGAAAAGAAAGAGAAAAGATGACTGCCAACGAAATGTCAAAGAAATTATTTGAAAAGCACTGAACACTTGCCCTCTCTGCACCGTTAATCTGAAAGATATGTTGAAAATGCTTAAGGCAGGTGACACTAATTCAGCTAGTCTGGGCATGTGCTCTTCAAACAGGTAACATCCTATGAAAAAAAACCTGGGAGCTTTCTAAGAAAGGTGACTGAAAATGAGTCGTGCCTCAGTTCAGTAGTTTCTGTTATCACCGCTATGACGTAATATTATCAAATGTTTTATCTTGCACCTGCATTGTGTAATTATAAGTAAATTTCCTCCAAACACAGTTTTGATTGAAAAAGTCAAAAAATGAATGATATTCTAACATGTAAAACTTTATGTATTGCTATGTATATATAGTTCTTGGACATATATCTGGAATAATTATCAAAGTCTTCTCAACTACTTTTAAATTTCTTGTTTATTGGTATGGTTCTATTTGAACAATAACCAAAAATAACAATAATTGGAGGGAAAAATCACTCGAAAAACCTTTGTATTTATCTGGGTTGCATTTCTTGTCATTCCTATATGCTTTTGTAAAAGATAACTAAAAGCATAGAAACAAACAGTACAACAAAAATCTAAGCAGTTATCTTTACAATTATATAATGCCTCCCAGTCAGTGAAATCAATCCCTATTATATTCTGGGAAGTTGGTAAATATTATTAGATCCATTTTTAAAAGATAGATAGATAGATATATTGATGCTCCCAGCTTTTGCCATTCATAGTTCCCCTTGAGCTACAGTAGCTAAAAGATACCTATACTTCCTGATGAGTTATAGGAGCTAGATGAAAGCAAGCATAGGATGTGTTACAACTTGTATTGTTTATCTAAAATGATGTTTCACAACTCGGTCTTGTCTTGGATATCTTCCGTAGTCTTTCCACTACTACAGAGCACTAAGAAAAAGGGACATGATCACTCAAATGTCTTTAAGGATAATCTCTGAAAAAGAAGGATTTCTTGTGGTGGGGAGAGGATGCCTGTTCTGCAAGATTCAAAAGGAAGTAGTTATCATAATCACCTCCAAAAAATTGTTTCTAGATTCTTTACTGAAGTAGAGGATAGCATGACATCTTCCTGTATTAAGCAAAGTTTGGTGGTGGCTTCTTTTTATACTGTGAGTGAGCAATGCTTTTTATTTGTCTCCTGCACACAGAAGTGTTGCAACAGATGGTAAAATCAAGCTAACTCATTCCAGTTGTAAAGCAGAAACTGAAAGCATTAATAAGAGTAGTACTAAATTAAGGCTGTCAAAGGCTATAGAAATCTAGATGTCAGCCAACAACATGAGGTACTTATTTGTTCTGGCATTCAAGAATCATATGAATAGTTATTACTGCAACTGCCAGATCTCCTCTTTATGCTACGATTTGATTCATGAATAAGGGCAAGTCAACCCAAGCTCTCAGACTTCCAGCTCTAGACTCTCAGGCTTTGATTTAGCAGAAGGTGCTTGTACTGTTCTAAATTTTAAAAAATATCAGTGATTCCAAGTCAGTTTAATCTTCTGTCCAGCTGTATTTGAATGCTCACTTAAAGTTTTTTGTTGTACCACTTGGCTTCAACGACACACATTGCAAAACTCAGAATATAAAGGTGCCAACTTATTACACTGTGCAACTTGTGCAGTTTTTCAATACAATGGATCATTTTTGTATTTTTTAAAGAAAGAGCAGCCCATATTCTGCTAACCTTACTTAGGTTAAGTAGTAATTAATTACACACATAGCCACACTAATATCAGCAGGACATTCAGAAAACATTCAGAAACATTCCAGGTCAGGTTGGACGGGGCTCTGAGCAACCTGATCTAGTTGAAGATGTCCCTGCCCACGGCAGGGGGGTTGGACTAGATGACCTTTAGAGGTCCCTTCCCACCCAAACTATTCTGTGATTCTATGATTGTAGACTGTAATGTGCCATTCAGTGAATGATATTTTCAGCTGGATAGCTCTGTTAACTGTATGCAACTTAGTTGAGAGGATATATTAAAAACTGAAGAACTGTGTTAAAAAATAGTATAAATATTAAATCTGTAGTGAATTTGATCTTCTTCCATGAATAAAAAAGTGAACTGATGAGTTAAGTGAACATGTAAGTTACGCTTGAACTGTGTATAGCTGTTTCCCATGTTGCTCTGGGAACCCAGTATTACTACAAAATAATGTATCTTTCCCCCTTTTATAAATCTTGGATGATATCTATATGATTGCTACTTTGAAAGACGAAAAAGAAAGTATTTTTCTTTGCCAACATTTAATCTCTATGTTTATCGGCAGACTTGTTCAAACTCTGCGTGATGTATCAAAGCAGAAAAATTAAATGTTCCACAATTTTGGCTTTTAATATTCTTATTATCATTTTCCTCAACAGTTTGGGTCAAGTGACAAGTGACAGCAAAATAATGGAATGAAAGTCTCTCCTCAACATCCAAAGAATATTTTTCAAAATGTGATTATTTCATTTTAGAGAAATTTGAGAGAAGATGGAATCACATTACCTGCTATCCACAACCAGCCTTGTTTAGTCCCCCAAATACCCAGATACTCTTAGGTAATTCTTAACAGATGGTACTTCTGGGAACGATTTTGCAATGGCCAACCACAACTCATTCCTACCGCTGCAGCATTACTCCAGGAAGTACTGCTTGAACGGACTACTGAAACTGGAGGAAACTTGCCAAAGCCACCAAATAAGCTTTCCATCAGATAGCATCATGAAAGAGCAGGTAATGTGACTTACAGGCCAATTCTGCCAGTGACACAGAATTTGATGAAGAGCTTTATAACCGAAGCCAATAAAAACTGATTCATTCAGGGGATAAAGAGCATGTCCTGTCATTCGTAGGCAGGCCTAACTCTAGGGATAACAGAAGTGTTTTGTGGTACTGATGATAGACTCCATGCTGTGCTTTAGATACCATAAAAGCATAGGCAGTACGATAATTTACCAAAGTAATAGCTTTCTGACAGTCTCACCTGGGTACAGCTGCTTTGTTGGGGCACTCAGCTGTGCAGTTTTTGAAACTCTGTAGGCGACATCCGATCCTTTTGAATCCCTTCTGTTCGTGCAAAATCCTGCTGTTCTTGATACTCCTTCTGGTGAATTGTGAAATTCTAATGCTTTTAGCACATCAATGGGTTCAGCTGACAAAGAAAAAAAAAACAACAATTACTCATCTTGCATCTCTACAGTATGCAGCCTCTAAAAAGGATATTAATTTCATTGCAAAAGCGTATGTGTAATCATAGCAGTAGCTGCATCCTATTTTGATTTATTGCAGATTACTCCTACACCAGAATATTATTTTAACAGGATTCTTCATTTTTAAATATATGAGAGTTCATCCCATCCAATGTAATTGTTATGATCAGATTTTCAAACTACTTGACTACACACTGAAAATCACTTTTTCCCAAACGCAGAGAATCTTGGTGATTGAAACTTACAACACATTCTTTTAATGAGTGATTTCTAAGAAGGGGAACTGATTTTAAAAGTTTGCACAAAAGTTTCAGAAGCATTCAGCTACTAATAATCTGCTATCAGAAACTCGTCTGTTGCTAACAGTAAATATATTCTGATTACATATGACTGCTTTCTCAGACAATAAAGTGATAAGAAAGGAGACTTAATCACAAAGCTACTGTAAACTTTAAAAATTACTGCAAGATATTTTTATAAAGTTTTTGTTTTGTTTTGTTTTTGAAGGGGAGGAGGGTGGGATTGGGTGGATGGGGACCTTTTTTTTTTGTGTTTCAGTTATTAGGTTACTTTAATATATATATACATATATATATATTTAAAAAGCCAATAACAAAGCTTTAATCTGTAAAAGTTCACCATGGCAAAAGGGGCAAGTACTGAATGGACAAGCACTTTAACAGAGGCAGTGAGGGAACATAGTTTGCCTACTGCATATCTTTTCTCTTTTGAAAAAATTAAGGTCTTCATTCCCATACTCCCTACAGATCATGGCTTCACTAATTTTTTTTTTTTGAGTGGAAACAGAATTTCAACAGACCATTTTTTCACTGGGACTATTCTGCAGTTTTTATGGTGGCAAACTCATAACCATGATATCTGGAAAGACAAAGTTTTACATGACTTTCACTGTTAAAGCTGAGAAATGTGTTTGGTAAATCTGACCCTCCTTCGTATCTTTGAACTGCACTGTGGCAGTAACTACGGCTAATTTATTCTCTGTTACTATTCATTTTGTGTGTCAACAATTATCAACTTAAGGCCCAAAATTCACTGTGTGCAAATATTCAACTATTTGAACAACTATTTGCAAACAACAAGGGAAAGAGTGTAAAAACATAGGCAAAGTGATACTCTAATCAGAGTCACTGATGGAAACATCCCGACCTTCTTTTCTTACTATTTGTACAGTTCTAGGCAGTGTTACTATTATTTTGTCACTGTAGTATCTCAGAAGTCACTTTAGTATATTCACTATCAATAACAGGTGTGAACAAAGTTAAGTTTAACTAGCGCATCCTATTCATCTCCTGGCATTGCCAAATATGAAGAACTCAACTTTGTGGTTAAACCTATCTTTGAATAACACCAAAAGTATATTCTTTAAAAACAAAATCTGAGCTTTTCTCAATCAGCCTAGAATGCACATAACTTCTTCGCTCTTAAAATATGTTCACAAGAAAATGTTTGTGAGCTTCTTTAATTTTTTTTCACATCATGCAACTCCTCATTTCCTTTTTCCACCAGATCGTGTTATCAAATATAAACCCAATAGCCAATGTTTGTTGCAAGCTGATACATTTTGAATGAATGCTACAGTATACACCTGAATTTACTTAAAATCTACATATCCTGCAGATTCAAGAAATTATATTTAAACATTCTTGAAAGAAAAGTTTCAATAGTGTGCAAATTCTGAAACATTAGTCTTACTCTCTGTTAAGTACTGACTAAATAATTTTAATGGATATAATGTATTTTCTATAGGTATTCCACACAGTTCTAAAGTTACTACCATACTGAAGGAACTGCCACACTTTTTTTCTGGTAACCGATGGCTATTTTTGCAGTACCTGTAATAATTTGAACCAGTAAAGTAATGTAGAACCAGTCACTGGAAATACTAGTAAAAATTCTAAGTCACTGTATAAGTCAACGACTGCTACATTCCTTTTTCCTTTGCTCTTTTCCATAATTTGTACCAGATTCTTCATTATTTTTTAGAATAATGGCTGTTCTTTGCTTGGCTGACTGGGAGAGTATTCATCCATAAACAAGATTATTCATTACTCCCCGCTAGTTCTGCTGCTAAAAAACTTCCAGACAAGAAACGGAATAATAATAGAAGAGAACAATCTTCAAACCACAAATTCCAAATAATTAGAACAAACATTTTGTTAATAGTCCATAGATGACATTTATTTCCACAAACTGTGATTCACAAAATGTAAATAGCAAAACCACTAGTCAGTTTACAAGGATTTCTAGAAATATAACTTGTCATAGAAATGACAATGTCATAGAAATGACAAGTTATATGAAGCAACTTACGCAAAAAAGGTAATTAGTCTATCTCCAATGATAACATGGCTGACCTACTAAATACTTACAGATCACAAGTAACAGAAACTGCTTCCCTAATTTATAGAAAAGATTTCAGATAGCCACTTCGACCAATAGTTAAAAAGTAAAGAAGTTCTTTAGAAGTCTTCAGATAAACCAGGCAGGAATGTATAAGATTTAATATGCTTCTTTATAAAAACTTGCTTTTGATAGAAACCTACGTATCATCCAGTCTGTGAAATAAACAGGCTGAGTTTGTGCCTCTTCCTCATAAATGTTTTTGTGACGTTCTTGTGTGTGTCATTATTTAACCTGGGCTTGAGTCTCATCAAATGGCCAGACTAGGATGCAACCAATCCTGTATTTCAGCTGGGAGGTAGCCAGCCTGGAAGTCTCCTGTAATAATAACAGCTGTTATTGCCATCTCCCAGCTGAAAACTGGGCTCACTGTGTAAAGCACTTCTCCCCTACGCTCTTCTTGTGTCACGCATAGGGCTACCGTATATTGGAGTTTCTGCAGAAACACCCTCTTTTTGCTAGTGGAAATTTTGTCTCCGTGAATTTCGGGATTTTTTTACATTTTCTGGAACTATGGCAACCTAGTTGGAGCAAGTGTTCAGTAGCCCTGACCAGGCTGCCACGACATTAGTCTCAAAATTCTTGATGAGCTCACTGTGCACGTTCAGATGATCTGCTCAATGCCTCTACAGAAAGCACTAGACACAGTTGCTCTCAATATGCCATTTCGGAATCCAGCCAAAAATAAACAGCTCTTGAAAAACAGCAGCGCTTAGATCCTGACTGGTTAGAGGTAACCTGTTTGAAGTATAAAGGATGACGAGAAGTCCTCGCACAGCCGACGCTGGCCTGCTTAGAAGACCAGGGTAGAGAGGTAGGAAGACAACTCACAGAGTCAGGGAAGAGCATAGTCTGGAAGCTATATCAGCTGAACCTGTGGCTTCTCTCTGCCAGTTTCTGTAGGTTCTGCAGTGCTCAGTCACTGTATCCTGGGAGCTTCAGCTCTTCCTGAAAACTGCCTCTTCTCTAGCATTCTGCTCCCACGGGATTTCTGGGAATGGTAAGAAATAGCCAGAAACAGCACCAGTGCTAAGGCCATGCAGTTTGCCTGTTTGCATGGTCCACAAATTAAGATTACAGCTTGTATTTATATGGGGCAACATTAATGTAACCCATATATTGGCAGATCTAGGGTCTCTCACAAGAACTTCCTCACAGTGCATAAAGCAGCTTGCCTAAATGATTTTACCTTCTAGTCTAATTTCCTTGGATAGTTTTCTCATAAGAAAACTGCAAATTAATGATATATGATGTAATGCTTTTGCATCCTTCCAATTTGGTGCTAAGATTTAAGATGACAAGGAACTAACCAGCAAATAAGCATCATGCACACAGCCCTGTTCACCAGTTCTTGGCGTGCGGTTAATTCTCCTTATGAAATTTAGACATCAGCTTTGAAAACTCAACTCTGTTTACCACGGCAAATTTGACAAAATACAAGATCCAGACCCTAAAAGTGGGTCCCTTCATGCAGATGTTTATGGCCACACTGCACTGCTGGTTGAAGGCCACCTCCTGCAGGCAAGCCAGACAAAGCCAGAAGTAAAGAAGAGAAAAGAAGCCTGTGTTCATCAGGCAAGCCTGCATTTTTCAGATTAAGCTCTCCTGAGTTTCAGACCGTAATCAAAAAGCAAGTTTCCACTGTGCTACTTTTCCACTGATAGAGAACCAACCGCAGGGGATCATTCTTCTCACCAAATATCATAGTGCAAAGTTCAACAGCATGTGTCCTTGATTCAAAAAAGTCCAGAGAGCCATGTGCAACTTTCACTGCCACTAACAGACTACACAGTAGTAGCCAGAGGAGAAGTGTTTAAAAGTGCTGGGATTTCTGGAATGGCAAAGGATAATTCTTCAAAAATCCCTTTTTAGAAGACAGAACTGTGTGAGATGGGAACCTGAGTGTCCTAGTATCTTTCAAGATACCAAACTGTTAATCATTTCGCTCCAGCATAAGTTCCCGGTTTTCAAAAATAAAGAAGGTAAAGCACAAAAAGAAATTAGTGGTGTAACATCTGAAGACCTGAAGTAACTTGTAACTTGCAATATTTAAAATTGTAGAGCCAAATTCTGGTCTTCATTACTGTGGTATGACTGAAGGACATCCATTCACTCAATGAGCTTTCCATATTTATAGTGGTCTGGATAAGAACATTGGGTCCAGAGCATTTCATATCAAATATAACTCCAAAGCCGTATTTAATCTTCCTTTGCTTTCCCTTTAGCTTTCTTCCATAGGAACTAAATAGGAACCTTAGGGGAAAAAAAAAAGACAGCTTGACAGAAATATAAAATCTTCTAAGCTACTTTAAGTGGTACTAAAATGTGTGTAAAAGCATGTTAACTAAAAAGAAGGAAGAAAAAACCCCACTTCTGTCAGCGTATCTCTGCTGGAAATTAAAAGGATTCAGCGGAGTTAAGTAGTTGTAAACTGGATGCTAGATCACACTTTTACACTGCCAGGTCAGGACAGAATATCAGGAGTGAATTACATGAGGGAAACTTCATATGTTTTCTGTTT